AGAAGAAAGAAAGAAAGAAAGAAAGAGTAATATCATACCAGTAGTGACCAGCACACTTGTCATGGGGAATGCTAAAAACAGAAAAAGACAGACCTGTTGTCAATTTTTTGTCACATACTTTAAAACATTTAAAAAATAAATAAATAAATAAATAAATACATTCACAATATTCTACAATCACTCTTTCTAAATACTCTTTGCAAATCTAATTTTAAAAAAAAAATCTTATCTAAATTGTAATGATTTTTTTTTTTTTTTGTTGAAATGCATGAATAATAATTCAATAAATCAATGGAAACTTGAACATGTTTTTTGTGTCATAAGTTTAATGTGTATACCCATTTAGACATACATAAAGCACTAGTTCAATTTGGCATCTGTTAATAAGTGTGTTACTTTATAGTTTCTTTATGAATCAATAATTAGTAAATCTCCTACAATATAATGCCATATTCACCTGCTGTTGTTGTTGGCCACATAAAGTCCGGATCTGCCATTCCTCCATAATCGCTCATAAAGTCTTTAAACAAAGAAAGACAGATACAGTCCTATTGTGTAGCTAATATTGTAAGTGTTTCTTATCACAAACTGATTATTTTGTACATTTTTCTAACCTGCTTGTACGGACTGCAGCCCCACCAGTAGAACGACCCATCTCAGCATCCACATCTGGGACATCCTCACAGTCCCTGTGGAGACATCCATCCTCAAGAGCTAAAGTGTGCTGTCTGTCAGCACTAGCTCCTTTATACTAGCTCTTGGTTTACTTTGGGACCACCTATTCTGTGATCAGAAGGTGGATCCCAGGCTTGTGCATTATGGCATGTTCACTTTCCATTGAATGAGAATAGCTTTGTTTGAGAATAAACATTGTTTATGCAAACCACGGTGGAAAAAAACCCCCAAAACACTTTCTGTCACTCATAATAATGTTTATCTCTGCTATTATCTCAAACTAAACAAGGATGTAATGGTTGGTTTGATGTAATGGACCAATTTGTAGAGACAAATTCCCACCCTAAATGTCTACCTACCTTGCATTTACATTTAAGGCATCTGAGAGACCCTTGTGCTTTGCATATGTTATAAAGTTATCTGCTGGAAAAAGTTTTTTAAAGCTTAAAAAAAATAATCTATAAAAAAAAGTTCTATATTTTTGCATGTTTATATACAGTATATATATATATATTTTTTTTTTATTAAAATCAAGTGGCTTTAATCTCTTCATTTTCATTTTGACATTGCTTCAAAAATAACATAATATTATCATACAATAAATCTAAGATTTGTTTATCTTGTACGTGTTGCTTAACCTATAAAACTTGTAAGATTTATATTATTAATAGCCTAGTCTTTCTGGATGGTTAGTCATCAAATCCTCAGTAAACAGCGGGTGTTGTGATGATCGCAGGCATAATAGTGCAGCTTTAAGTCCCATTCACACCAATGATGATAACTTTGCCTATAACTATTACGTTTTGGTAAACCTTCTAATTGGGATGTCAACACCACAACTATAACGATATTGACACAGAGGAACGATATTTCGTTGGAATCACTTTCGACAATGACATTCAGTCAGAATTCACCTTTTTTAATGAGCTCATAGCATTTAAAGTGGCAGACAACAAAACTGCAGTGTGCGCATATAATAAACAAATGTTAATATGCGCCGTTGTGGACGCTAATGTTTCGCCACTAAATAAAAAAAATAAAAAAGGCAATTGCGACTGACTTTTTTCTTTAGAATTGCGTGATATAAACTAACAATTCTGACTTTTTTCTTAAAAATGTAAGATATAAACTCACTATTATGAGAACAAATTTTTTGAATTGTAAGAAAAAAAAGAATAAAAAGATATAAATTCGCAAATGCAAGTTTATTTCCTGCAACTCTGTTTTCAAATTGTGAGTTTATCGCTCGCAATTGAGAGAAAAAAAGTCAATTATATTTTAGTTTTTTTTTAGTCTGTGGTAGTATGGAAGCGTGTTGCCGCCACAGAATAAAAGATAATTTAAAATTTTAAAAGGTAAAGAATAAAATACTTTTTTTACTCACAACTGTTTAATTCTCGCAATTTTGAAAAAAAAAAATCAAATTGTGAGAATTAAACTCACAATTGTGAGGGAAAAATGTCAGAATTGTGAGATATATACCTGCAATAGTTTAAGTTTATATCTGACTTTAAAACTCACAATTCTGAATTTTCTCAGAATTGTGAGATGTAAAGTCCAAATCTGAAGAAAAAAAAAAATTAAGCAATTCTGACTTCATACCTCAATCATGAGTTTATCTTGCAATTCTCAGAGAAAAAAGTCAGAATTGTGAGATAAAAAGTCGCAATTTCTTTTTTAAATTCTGTGGCGGAAAATTTAAGGTGTGTGTGTGTGCATATTTTTTTAATCGCATATAAACTTTTTTAAAAAAAATTGAGGAGGCACTGAAACAACAAAAGTCGAAAAAAATTGATGACAATTGAGATTCTTGAGATGGACAGTGCATGATGCATTTGAATTTGATGAATTTGGAGCTTTCTAGACTTAGAAAAGCCACAAAAAAAAATATTTTTCGAATGTAAAATATATTTGCCCGAAAATGTGTTTCAAGATCGCCCAAAATGTCTAGGATTTAGCTTTTGCATTCCACAGTCGGCATTCATTATGTTTACTGTGGTGAGCAGGACGAGTGAGAGCCCCAGGAGAACGGCGCGAGGCCAGTGGCGGCATTACCGATGAGCGACGCCTGTGAGACACACCGTATCTCTCACGGAGGAGCAGGAATTTTCTTAGCAACGTTAAAACGCACATCAACCGTTCACTTGTTTAGCGTTCAGGTAAACACTACATTCAGATTCATCAATCGGAATGAATTGAGTTAGATGTGCATGTAAACAATGAATGGCGACTGCAGAAAGCAAAAGCTGAATCCCGGACATGTCCGGGAAAAAGAGGATGGTCACCCCACTCAGCTTTCTCCACAGAACAAGAGCCTGCAAGCTAAGCTTCCAAAAAAAGATGGCTGACACTATGTGTTCATTCTGTGAGTGAGGTCCACCGTATATGGGCGGGTTGAGAACATGCGGGACAGACCCTAATACTGACTGTAGTCTTTAGCCTAAAAGTTTTTTTCCAGACTAAAAATACATAAATCTCTCGTCTCAAGGGGATATGAGGGTGGAAAGCATGGTAACTTGAAAATACTACTGGTTTTAATACAAAGCTTAATGATGAATCCTGAAGTATCCCTTTAACGCTGCTTAATATTTCAGAAATGATGGCAAATTAATCATATGGCACATCTTTCTCTCTGACCAACATAATCAATCTCTCGATATTTTTTACCTCTTTTACAAATTCATATAAACGCTATGGTATAAGCTAGGCTACTGTTGTAGTTTCCATTCCCCACTATAGGTTATAAGTTTACCCAACTATGACTTCTGCTCCTTAAAACCCTGGAAATGTTAAAAAAAAAAAAAAAAAAAAAAACTTTTTTTTTTTTTAGCTTTTCTTGTTGTCTTTGATTAATTCAAAATATAAGCACCATACAATACAAGTCAACCCTAGCCCAAACATTTATGTGTATACCAGCCTTGTCACGGTTTGACATGTTTGAAACCTAATTCTCTGAAACCTGTTACATTAATTAATGACGCACCATGTTTGTCGTTGCCTCCAGAGACATTTGGATGTTTACACATTTCCTTTCCATTACCTTGTTGATTCTTACTTAGACTATATTTAAACTACACTTAGGCCATATTTAAAGTCATGTATGGGGATTAAATATTGATGCTTGCTGAATGCACACCAATTTGTGTTTTTTTTTTGTATTTTTTTTATTACATTTAAAAGACAGTGTAAGTCTACCTAATATAGGTTAAAGTGAAATCGGAAGGTTTTTTAATATTATTATTATTATTATTCAAAATGTACAAAGTAGGCCCTAGTACTCTAGGCACAAACCACACAAACGCTG